CCGTCGCCGTAACCCCCCGCGCCGTACCGCTCTCCGCCGCCGCCACAACCCACTCACAACAACAATGGAGAACAAACGAGCGACAAAGATAACACTAGAAGAGCCCCCGCTATTTATTCCCAACTACCGTCGCTGAGTCAGCGATGTTGACCGAGTCAAGCGGCCACGTCAGCGAAAACCGCCCGCAAAACAGCCATGGGAGTCGGTTTGCCCGGGATTTCAACGTTTAGGGGTCAAGATATCTGGTTTTGCGGTTTAGGGTCACGTTTTAGATTCGGATCACTTTTGAGGGTCACGAAGTGAACTTATTCCTACTAGAAAATCTATGTGCCTATTAACGCACCCACTATATAGCATGTTTATTTGTTTATCAATGTGCCTATTAGTTTATTGAATATACTTTACTTTACAAAAATTAGTTAATTTTTTTGTAACATTGCTATAACAACAATATTTTTCAAAGAAACTCTTAATGCTATTTTCGCTTTCAATGTAACCCCTATCCTGGAATATTGTAGTTAATTGTGTTGTTTTGTTTTTAAGAAAACATATAAAACATGTTCTTCTAATTTTCCTAATGTTCACACTTCTTTACTCCATATTTTTTTTGTTTTCTTTACTTTTCCTCTTCTGTTTTTTCTTTTCTTAATGACCAAACTAATAAATATGTTTGACAGATTTTCTGTCAGATCCCTAAGATCGTCTATAGTATCACTACTAAATGATGGGACCCGTGAGGGTTTCTGTCACGATCTTTCGATGAGAGGCGGAAGATGACAACCTGGCCACGAGGGCACTTGTCCTGCAAGCAATCGAAAAACAAGTAGTAACAAGTAGAACAAGCACTGAATTGCTAGATGAAGATGATGTTTCATTATTAAAAACACAATATGGCGGAGTTCCGATTGCAAGCAGGCAGGCGGTTTAGCCAACACGCGTGTTGCGAGCAGGTAGCAAGTAGCTAACTCTAATAATCAAAAACCGATTGTTCTTAGCGGCAGCTAAGGGTATAAGAAGAGGGGGAGAACGACCACAGAGGTGTTAGGGTCGTGCTCTATATAAACTAGGTGAAACCCCGCGCATTGCTGCGGGAATTTAGTATAAAGATATACATCGAAACATTATGTGAATTATGTTGGATGATAATTTAACAAGTTTGTGTTTGAAAAGCTCTTAAATTATAAAAACTATAAAGATATAGCATGTTTGCATGATGTTTAAATGTGATGATTGTTAGTGGATGATGATGTGGCATCTTGTTAATTAGTGGATGATGATGTGACATCTTTGCATGAAGATATACATTGAAACATTATGTGAATTATGTTGGATGATAATTTAACATGTTTGTATTTGAAAAGCTCTTAAATTATAAAAACTATAAAGATATAGCATGTTTGCATGATGTTTAAATGTGATGATTATTAATGGATGATGATGTGACATCTTGTTAATTAGTGGATGATGATGTGGCATCTTGTTAGTGGATGATGATGTGGCATCTTTGCATGTTAAACTTAAGGAATTAGTGGGGGATAACTTTATAGTAAGATAGGATGAGGGGGAGAACGACCAATCTAGCTTGATATAACTATATAGGGAGATATGTCTATATAAGTGGCAAATATAAATAAAACTTTAGTAAAGGAGCATGTATATTAGGTAAGATCGGCTGAAACCCCGATACTATCCTTACTAACAATCAAGAAGCAGGCTAGAGATTATGGTTCGAAACACGACTTAGTACATCGAATGTATTGATGCAACACTTAGTATGAAAAGAAACATGATATCTAGACAATCAAGCCATTGACTGAATTTTTAGGGTGGTAGATGTCTAAGCTAATCTAATCTAGCAATACGATTTAGCAGATACCGGCAGAAACCCTAAAGCGAGAAGCAGCCAATAGAGCTAAATTGATATGCTAAGACTAGATTAGCGGAGACATATAATAAAGATGGTCACGATATAAGGACTAAAATATCTAAAACGACATAGTAGCCCCGATAGCACAAGCCATCGAGATGGGTTACCTCTTGCGAAGCGAACTCGTCGAAAAGTAAAAGCGAAAAGGGTGGCGATGCGCTGAAGTTGTATTGGATTGTCTCCTGTATTACAATGTTATGAGGTTCATATTTATACCCGAGTACAAACTTAGTCCATTATGGACACGACTCGAACCTTTCTAAAGATAAAATACAAACAAGACTATAACTATCCTAATCAATAGATACAATTACCTTAATTGAGCTCTATCTCTGTTTGGGAATTGTTTGGGAATGATGGTTATCTTAATATAGGCCCATGTCGACCCCAAGTTATCTCTATCGGCTGTTTGCCATATCGGCCAAATCAAGCCTTTGTCCAGTTTTTAGCCGATACGATACTCAGCTGATGCACAGTCCGACTTGGAGATAAACTCGAATCCACACCAAATCTGCCTCGATCTCCTTCCTTCTCTGAATCTGATGCAAAATTCCAGTGTTAACACACATCCATCATAGAATCTGAAGAACCAATCTTTGAAGCCCTCAATTGATTAATTTTCTCTAGGATACACAATGGCAGCTTCCCCAAAGGACATGCACCTTCTTGTGCTGACATCTTCATCATCAGTATAAGTTGTTGGGAAAGCTGACAAAGCTAATGATGGCCTTGTGTACATGTTAATCCACAGCTGCATGAACCACCAAGGACCTCCATAATTGATTACTTTATCTTCTAAATATTGCAAGCAACAGAGTGAAGCATTCGATAAACTGAGCCAAGCAGATATTTCCTTAGAGGAATATGCTTCTTCTAAACCAAAAATTGAGCAAAGTGCTGATAGTTTGCAGTTGGCCCATAGGTTGAACCACATAATACATCTCTTTCTAACCACATGGCCAGGAATGCAACATGTTCCCTTAAGGAAACAGATCATGTGCCTTGATATTCTGCTATGTATCCTTTCCAACCTCCATGGATCTGTTTTACACTTAATGTCCAGTTTGAAGGGGTTGATGGAAGTCGTGACATTCAGACTTGTTAGCATCTTGACATGTAACAACGATGGAGTCATGGGGCCTTGCCAGAATAAGAAACAATTGAGTGTATTTGACCAGAAGTAGGCCGCAGCAGATAGCATCGGCTCATTCTTCTTGACGTGTAATACCCCAGAAATATCCACAAGCCTAGGATGCCACTAAAGAAACCTATAAAAGTGCCAAAACAAAGAAATTTCGGCAACACCTCTTTATACACACACACACCATGGTGCCCCATATGAGTGTCATATATATATATATATATATAGGTATCCACTAACCCACCGTGGCAGAAAATCAAATATTGATTTTTCTTATTTTGCAAAAATATGTTCACTGCGCGGTTTTCGTGGCGCTATGTTCTGCATGCAAGGCCATTTGAAAGTTCTGCATGCAAGGCCGTTTGATCAGGGAAGTGTTGAGGTTGTTACCGGGATATCTATTTAAAACGGCGGCGAGGTAGGTCAGAAGAGGAGGAATTTGTGAGCAGAAGCAGATCAGTTCTGCAGAAATTTGATGGAGCAGAATCTTTTGGGGTAGAGGGCAGAAACTCGTCGGCGAGTTCTGTTGCTTCGCCTTCCGCGGCGACAGAAGGCGGAACCTCGTCGACACATGATGTCGCATGCAGAAGGCGGCAGTAGCCGTTGGTGCGTCCTCGCCGGCGAGTTCAGGCGAGCACCACAAGCCGACGGTGGAAGAATGTGGAACCGCGTCGGCATCTCGGCGAGTGGTGACATGCAGCAGAAGCCGGCGGTGGCGAAAGGCTGATCCTTGCCAACGAGTTCTTTTGCTCAGCACAAGCGGGCGGTGCCGGAGGACGGAGGTCTGTTGAATGGACACGAATGTGTGCAGAACTCATCAACTGATTGGTACATATCGAAGATTCGAATTGGTTGATGTGCTCTTTATAATTTTCCTCTTGTTTGTGTGTTTGGTTCTGACTGTGTGTTGCGTTATTTGGTCAGGAATGGTTTTGTGCAACTGTGCATTGCATGGCTACTGGTGACAGGAGTGAAGTGATGAATCGCTCTCTCCAGAGATATGACATCCATTTCCAGAAATAGTCACGCAGCTTGCAACATGAATTTCAGAAGTTGCGGAGCACCCCCGGCGCCGCAGAAGTTGTTCCGATCGAACATGTAACCAAGGAGAACATTTAGCCGGTTGTTTAATGAGCAGATCATATGGAATAATGGATTGCTTTCTGCATGATCGTTGATTAGTCGTACGAACTATCTATACTCTTTTATGATATTTTCTATGAGAGAAACGCGACTAATATTTGAGTTGAGTTTTCTGTAACTTCTGCTTGAAATAAAAATAAGAAGTTTTCCTTTGTTTTTTTTTGGGCTATTTTAGCTTATTGTGTTATCCAAATTCTCTGTTGTCATCTTTGTCCGCTATGCCCCATCCTTTTTTTCGTAGTTGCTGACTGTCGTGTGAACTAAGAGCAGAATATGCCTCGAGTCTGTGGTGTAGTTTTTTGTCGGACAAATCCGTGAATTGGAGCAGTACAAGTTCTTCTGCTTCTTCTGCGGATGTAGCAGAACATGGATCATAGTTTCTGCTTGTGTTTGTATTTGGGTTTAGAGATGTAGCAGATCATGGCACAGAACTGGGAGCAGAACATCACTTCTTTTTTTGGTTTAGAGATGGACATGCACTGCTTTGGAGCATAGCATGATCTGCTCTCTGATTTCTGAGGAGCAGAACATGTGGCAGATTTGGTAGTTTCTGTTTGTGTTTGTATTTGGGTTTAGAGATGTAGCAGAACATGGCGAACGGCAGAACTGGGAGCAGAACATGACTTCTTATCGTCCAGCGTGATCGTTTCTGGTAAAAACATAAACGAGAGCCACCACCACCTGATACATTCGCACATGCTGCAGGACTGCCAATGCAAAATACTCCCTCCGTTTCGTTTTATTTGACGTTTCCGACATCTTTGTCAAAATTAAGGAAGCTGTGAAATTACATATTTGCCCCTGTGTCTTCTCCTCATCGGCGCAGGAGGAATCCCCAAAAATCGACCGGCCTCCGACATGCCGCCGCGGTGGGCGGCCTCCTCTCCGACCTCCGTGCCCGTGTCTCCCAGGTGCGGGCGTGCACGCCGCCACCCGCCGGGATCCCCTCCCTCTCGTTTTTGCCATCCCATCCCGCCGGGCCTGCTTGACCCCGACGCCTCCTTCCTCGAGCTCTCCCAGGTCGGAAACGCCGGCCGCCGCGCCAACCACCGGGGCTCACCCCAAGACGCCGGCGAGGCCCTCCTGCTCCAAGCACCGTGCTCCTGTGCCTTCTCCTCGTCAAGCCGCAACATCAAGCCGCCGCCGCGGAAAGAAAGAGGCGGAAACGCCGGCCGCCGTGCCAGCCGCCGGGGCTCACCCCCAAGACGCTGCCGCCACCCATACTCGTCGGAGCCGTCGCCGCCACCCCTCCTTGCCGGAGCCGCCGGCAGCACCATTCTCCTGAGCCACCGAAAGGTACTTCTTTTTTTTTAGAGTAAAGTCCATCACCGGTCCCTAAACTTGTACCGCTGTGTTATCCCGGTCCCTAAACTCGCAAATCAACCATTCAGGTCCTCAAACTTGTTCGACTATGTCATCCAGGTCTCTAAACTTGCAGATCACTCGTTTAGATCCTTCAACTTGTTCAGTTGTGTCACCACGGTCTCCAAACTTGGATTTGAATATCATCTGGGTCAAATAGGACGGTCTAAAGACTTTATATTTAAAAATAATTCATAATTTTTTCATGTGAAATCTAATGAAAACAAACTTTATATCAAACTTGTAGCCCTCAACGCGATCTACAACTTTGTAGTTGAATTTTTTTTATTGTAAGTCATTTTTTTGTCCCAAAATGTAATTTTAAAATTATAATTTCAAAATCTATAAACATGCAACAATATTTTGGGACCCTATACAGTTTTAATTCAAAAACTTTTCAACTACAAAGTTGTAGGTCGCGTCGAGGATTACAATTTTGATATAAAGTTTGTCTTCATTAGAGTTTACATGAAAATGTTATGAATTATTTTTTATATAAAGTTTTTAGACCGTCCTGTTTAGGGACCGGGGTGACACAACTGAACAAGTTGGAGAACCTAAACGAGTGATCTGCAAGTTTAGGGACCGGGATGACACAGTCGAACAAGTTTGAGGACCTGAACAGTCGATTTGCGAGTTTATGGACTGGGATGACACAACGGTACAAGTTTAGGGACCGGTAATGGACTTTACTCTTTTTTTTATGCAGAGTTTTCTGTGCTCCGTGGCTTGCTCATTAATGCCATCTTTGTTCATTTATTCAGTGTGTATTATGAAGTTCATAGGACTAGTATTATTTGGTTGCTGTTTGTTCATATGCCTTGCTTCAAAGTTTCAGAGCTTGTATTTTGGACTGTGTTCTTGTGATCAGGAAGGTACAGAATGCGGCAAATTTGAGTTCTCTCTGCTATTTGGAGTTCCCTAAATCCACCTGCTGTAACAATCCTGAGCATATGAAATCAGCAATGTTACACTTTATGCTCCCTAGCATTGTTTGTTAAAACTTAGACTGTAAAGTCTTCTGACCAAATGCTTGATGTGTATTGATCACATATTATCGGTGTCTTTTCTCTACAGGCAAGGAGAGGGAGAATCAGTGGGAGAAGAATGATAGAGGAAAAATAAACATGTGTTCAAGTCTCCTTCATGTGTAATTTATTCTAAGATTAATTTATTCTTGGATTATACCTAAGTATTCTAGCTTAACATATTGTGCTACTCTACATTGTACTCCCTGGTACTCAGTGAATGTTGAGCTCAGTGACTACCCAATTTTACTCATGTGCTGATCATTTATTCGTTGCCAAAATTGTGCTTCAGATTGCTTTTTGGTAATTGAAATTGCTAATCTGAAACACTATCCAGATTAGCAATTGCTGGTGCTGTTGTTGATATGAACATGTCACTGTCTCTTGTTCACTACTGTCTCTTGTTCTGCATGATTCTCCACTGTCTCTTGTTCCATATACTCCTGCTTGCTGTGTGAGCTGGGATTCTTGATTCTTGATTCCGGATCGGTGACTACTGATGCTTATTTCTGACCTTGTTATATTTGGAGAAAAAAAGTTGGATTGTGTAAAAAATCTTAGTTCATTTGCATTCAACATTCAGTATTCCAATTTGTAATTTGTAACTGACAATACAGACAGACTACAGATACAGTATATGATTTCTTCCAATTGACATTATTCAGCCATTCATATTGCCATTATTCCAATTGATATTACAGACACAATTCCAAATTGTCTTACTTACACAATACAAAATTTTCAAGCTCACAGGATTCTATTGAAAACTACTCCAAAATTTCTACCAAACAATTTGGCACTACACAAATGCTCAAATAGGCATGCTCACATCTCAAATTTCTACCAAAAGTTCTGTGTTAGGTGAGGTATCACCATCTGTGTGTTACATTTAGCACCAAGAGTTCCAGATTCCATTGTCCAACATTGTCCAACGCATTGACAACAGCATCCAGGCTCTCCCAAAAGGCATCGTTGAACACATTTTCAGTCTCAGGACTTGCTCTGTTCTGAAGGGAGGTTGGGATTATTGTGACTTCATAGCACTGAATTGCAGTTGCAGTTATCCAGGTAACCCAAAATGAACTGCAATCAGAAATCAAGAACATGTTCCTGGAAAAAGAAGAGAAAAAATCGTCTGAAAAGGATTTAGGTGAAGTTGATAATTTGTCGACGAACAACAAACAAAGAACAGAAACCACACCAGGGCACCAGGAGCGTATGTTCTCCTCCTCGCCGGTTGCGGGCAAAGACACATCGGATGAGCTCGTGCATGGCGTGCCGCGAGAATCGCTGCAGGAGCTCGCCCTTGGCGCCGGCGTGGTGGACGACACGGATGCACGTGTTGACGGCAGTGCAGACGTGCTGGTTCCCGAGGGCGGTGGCGGCGGGTGCGCGCAGGCAGGCGAGCAGCGACTGCAGCATCCGCATCAGCACGGCCTCCTCGGCGGCGGCATCAGCCCCGGCCTCGAACCGGCAGCTGGCGACAGGCCCATTCACGCAGCGCGGCGCTCGTGAGGGACGGACCCATGAGCGCCATCACCTCGTGGAGAGCGGCCAGCGACGCCGAGGTGACCGCGGCGCCGGCGTCCTCGGAGCGGACCGCGTAGAGGAAGGGCCGCAGCACGGCGGCGGGGGAGAAGACGAGGCGGCGCAGCGCCTTGAGGGAGGAGACGAGCGGGTGGTCCGCCGCGGCGTCGTCGGCTACGGCGCGCGGGTGGCGGAGGCTGCGGCGCATGACGGCCAGCACGGCGCTGGCCTCAGCGGATATCGCGCAGGCGAGGCCGGCATCCCTCGCGGCGGCGGCGGCGGCCGGATTTGAGGAATCAGGGCGAGGAGGAGGGCAAAGATGGAAACCAGCAGTATGACTGAACTACAGCGTCAAATAAAAAGAATGATTTCGGATTGACTTAGCGACGTCAAATAAAACGAAACGGAGGGAGTATAAAGAAAACGAATTAGGAATAGAAACGATCAAGAAAAGAATCCAAAGGATGGAAAATAAGCAGCAAATCTTAGAACTGGAATTCTCCATATGCTAGAGCTTTCATCGTTATCTACAACACAGCCACCGGTGAGGCTACTAATCTGAGCTCAGTTCAGTTATGAACCATCCAAACGCAGAGAACGATTTTAGATAGATAATGTTCTGCTCTTCCTTCATGATGGGAGAAATATCCTGCTTTCTCGCTGTGGATAAACAAACATAAGTGCGAAAAAACCACCCGGATATATCTCTTGTTAGCTCGTCTCCGATCAAATCTCATATATACAACAAACTAGGGAGGCTACGTTCAATTTTTGAATCTGCTGTAGAAGATAAGTTAACCACCGAGAAAAATAAAAACGGGTGGGAGTATTCAATTCATTAGACCCGTTAACGGTCATTAGCATTATCTAGTGCTAGCGATCGAATTGAGGGAGGATAGGGAGGGAGTAGCTACTCCTGGTAGTAGTTTCTAATTTTCCTACTCCCTCCGTTTCAAAATGTTTGACACCGTTGACTTTTTAGCACATATTTGACCGTTCGTCTTATTCAAAAAAAATTGTGAAATATGTAAAACTATATGTGTACATGAAAGTATATTTAACAATGAATCAAATGATATGAAAAGAATAAATAATTACTTAAATTTTTTTAATAAGACGAATGGTCAAACACGTACTAAAAAGTCAACGGTGTCAAACATTTCGAAACGGAGGGAGTATATATATAGCCCATTTGGGGCACCATGGTGTATGGGCTCCAATTCTAATCACCGTTAGATTTGATCCTGATCAAACTAGTTGATGTGGGTATGATATTAACGGGTCTGCCCATTAGTAGCTTATGATATATGGAATCAGATATACTTAGATGAAAAGGTACCGGATTCATAGGCGTAATTAATTATGGATGGTAATGATGTTTAATCACATGCACACGATTGAGTATGTCATTTATTTCCGTATATAGTGTGAAAAGGTTATAAATGAAACTTTTTTATAGTATTTTTTTTTAATGAAAGGAAGGTAAATATACTCAGGCAATTCGTGTGAACGTATCTGAAATAATAATTTTCTTCGTGACTTTGGGTACACGACATACGCATGTATTCCAGAGTATAATCGTGTCAACATATCTAAAACAAATCGGTTGTGTTTGGTGAACAAATTAATTTTACGTGACATATATTCCAGGAATCATGTACCTATATTTTAGGTACACCCATGTGTTTTCCAAAAAAAAAAATGTTTGTTTAAATTCTATACCGTACCTTATTTCTTTTGCTATATATGCACGTCGAGTATGTGGGACCATCTCCATAATATTATACTGGTATAGAGTATGTGTGACGCACCATGACTCTTATTATTGGGTATATAACCCATTTAAAGACTTGTGTATATATACTTCTCATCAGGGTATATACCCAAATATTTTGTATATATCCAATTTTACGTGTATGTATCCAAATATTGAACATATACCCAAATATTGAATATATATACCCAAATATTGGGTACGTACCCAATTTGCACGTAAACATGTACATATACCCAAATATTGGGTATGAACCAAAAAAAAATCCCGGAGCATGAAAAATAATTCTGGAAGTACACATACCCAAATATTGGGTATGAGAACACAGAAATAAATACCGTAGCATGAAAAATAATTTTGGAAGTGCATTAGATCCTAAAATTCGAACCAAAATTTGAAACAGTATATATACCCAAATATTGGATTTGGAAAAAAAAAATCCTTATCCATGAACAAAACCAACGACGTATTGGGCCGACGAACGAGCTTGCGGACGAAAGGCGCGGACAACCAGTGGCTGCGGCAAAGCTCGCAGACGACCAGCGGCGGCAACGAAGAAGCTCACGGATATCTGGCAGCGTAACAGCTTGACAACGAAGATTGTGGAGGCCTGGTTGGGAAGAAGAAGCTCGCGGACGTACGATGTCAACGACAAATCTCGCGGACGACGATCAGCAGCCTGCGACGAAGAAGCTATTGCATATCCGGTGGTGCAATAGCTTCGCGACGAATGTTGCCGAGGACTAGTTGCAACGACGAAGGTCACGGTCGAACGTCGTCAGCAACGATGCTCGTGGACAACCAACGGTTGCATCGAAGAAGATTGTCGACGTCCGGCGGTGTAACGGCGTGGAGATATGAAATTGGAGTGTGTAAAAGATGGAATGACATCTCTGCCCGTATATATATATACACTAGAAATAGAAAAGTATTAATAGTATGGATGAAAATAAAGCAATTACATCGAAATTAGTGGGTTTGATTATGTACATATAATTTGGAAATAAATTGTGTTCATGCAATCACGATCATATTCATTTGGAAAGTTGACGCATGCAAGCTTATATGGAAACAGCTAGCTGTGCGCGAACCATGCACGTATAGTACAAATGGAAAGCTGGATCTTAACCCGCTAATATATCTATAATATGCTGTTTTGAGTAGCACGGATCCTAAAGCAGATAAATGGTGGATACAATTGGAGCCCATACTTCATGGAGCACCACATAATTTACCTATATATGTGAACCAAGGTTCACTTCACCTTAAATCTGGAACGTTGGTGTGCTTTAAGATGTGTGCTACCTAAATATTCATTGCTCTGTACTTGTGAAGGCTTTGCTGTGTACTTGCTCTTGACCTCACTTTCTAATCTTCCAACTTTACCCCTGAGCTAAATTATAGCTCTCTTTCATGCTAAACACAGTTAATATTACTTTTTTTTCTTAGTGTTGTTTTAAGTTCTTCATCCCACGGTGTGTAACTGTGCATGGTACATTTTTTTTTCCGAAATAAGTACCCATACTTTTTTCTATAACTACATAATTAACATTTACCTAATAAATTGATCTTTTACCAAATGAAATTTGTAAATAATACCTCTGCTAAGATCCACCGAAGGAAGGATATTATGGCAGTTGGCAGGAGAAAATTTGCAGCTATATCATTTTTGAATAAAAATCTAACGTGCATATATAAGATAATATGAATTATAAGATTATGCCACGTGTACATTACTCCAATAAAGAGGTCCGGGACAACTCACATGATACTTTTGTGGTGCATTTTAAATTTTATACACATTTCAAATTCACATGAAATGTCATACATATTCGAAATAATGACATATAGCTAGATTTACATTAAATGATGTACCTGTAATATAGAAATAATACATGTCAATTTACCATAATAACATTTTACAAAAAGAAAGTTTGATCTATATATCTACATACAAAAAAAATTCAACATATCTATATATCTACATTTACAAGAACAGTATATCTCCATTCACCAAAAAATGACAGTTACAAAATGAAATGTTGATTTGTTATATACACGGGTTGACATTTTTTTTGTTAAACAAATTGATGTATCGCAAAACATTATGAGAACTCATGAGAAATCAAAATCACCAAAAGAAATTATTTGAGGTGAAATGCCGAAACATAAACAGATACTTAGCCAATTAAGTGCTAACAACGGTTATTAATGATATGACTTAATCAAGTGATTTGTACCTTATAGCACTACCATGCGCATGGGTCAACAGAGAATTGTGAGTGAGTGATGAGTCATCATTGTCCAATATGAGTGGAGTACTACTTCAAGTGCATTTTGGTCTTGGCAATTAGATCATGTACCAACCCCTGCTCACACTATAAGGATACAAAGCTAGATATGTACATCTTACAGTGATTATAATGTGTACACATGTCACACAAATGAGTGAGGTGCATATGAACCAAGGTTCATATTTTATATATATATATATATATATATATATATATATATATATATATATATATATATATATATATATATATATATATATGGCGCCGTAGGCGCCACGTATTAGATGGCGCCTGACACAACACCTCCCTACCCTACCCCACATTCCTCACATCCCGCCTACGCCAACCATTTATGAGTCATTTGATAACTTATGAGAATACCGCGTCCACCCCACACCCACCACTGCACCACATTATCTCACATCCCACCCGCGCCCAACTTTCATGAGTCATTTGTTAACTTATGACCATGCCCGCGCCCACATAACGCCATGTGTTATTTTTTAACTAAAAAGCGGGCATGCATGCGCAAGTGAGATTAAGAAGCCAGTTATTTTTCAACTCATCAGTACATGGCACGTATCGACGGTGTCACACGACTTACCTGTTTTTTTGGTTTATATTTTAACTCATGTGGTGCGACAAGGTGTGCGTGGGGGGGCATTCGTCGTGCTCGTTCCGGTGAGGTATTCGTTAACTCCGTCTGAACACACGCAACTCCATTGCGTGTTGGCACGAGGGCAGTTTTTTTTAACTCGTTTGCGCGTCACTGCGCGGTGGGGGCACATGGCATTGGTCGTTAAATTGAGTTACTTTTTAACTCAAGTGATCGGCGGTCATTAAATGCATGCCCGTATTTTTTAAATTTTTTTGTCAGTTACAGGCAGCGAATCTTCAGAGATTAGTCACATCAAAACCGCCGTAGTTATCGCCGCCCACTCCTCTTCCGGACAGTTCTTTTCTCTTCCCCGTTCTTGAGTTCTTAGAGATCGCTCCTCTTCTCGCCGATTCAGTTCTGTGGACCCCCGTTTTTATAACAGGAATCAATCGTGTAAACAGTACCATTTCCCTGGATCAAGTAGTCTGGTACACACAAGTTCATAGCTGAAATACCAAATACACATACATGAGAGTCTAGTGCGAATTATTACATCATAAGCCCGCAGGCATAGTCTTAGATCATCGGACCGAGCGGTCCGGAATACATTCCAAAAGCAGAAGTGGATAAGGTAGCAGAGTTAAGGCAGCGGCACGACATTGCCACAGGCAACAATCGTAACTAAGACCTACTGAGCGCCATCGTCTTCATCACCCTCCTGGTAGTATGCGTAGGGATCCTCCGAAGCTTCATCTCCGGCCTCTGATTAAGTTTATATATTGCAAGGGTGAGTACCAACCGTACTCAGCAAGCCATCATAGCAACAATACACATGATAGGGGTATTCAAAGGATGGCTATGGTTCTTTGCGCAAAGCCAGTTTTGTAATTCTTTTCACAAGCCTAAGACCTAGCATT